GAAATGCAAAAAGGCAGTGTTTTTTCTGTCCGTGGATGTGTTTTTTAATGAGAACCCAAAGATCTAATCTTTGCTGAATTCACAAAAGAATTGATTTACTCTTAACTAATAGCAAAATTTTATTGAATATCTTCCGTATGAAAAGTGCAAATAAAAACGTCTCACTTTTTTTTTTGTACCGTTGACAAATATGTTAAAAGTTTGATTATTTACAGTTCGAAAGAAACAAAATAGAGTCTTAACATCTTGTGTTAGTTTTATTAAAAATTTAATTTAATTTATTTTATACAATTCGTGGTAAACAACAACAAAAATTTTTATATGACAACCAACATGTATGACCATCACCTGTTGTACTTTGTAATGTTGCAGCACATCCACGAGGGCATGAATTATTAATAAAACAAAATGGAGCAGTTCCATACCATTTACATAATCCATTTACAGATTTTGAAATAATTAATAAAAAAAAGAAGAAAAAAACAAATCTCATCGAGATGTTTAATGACACCATTTTTAATTTTAAAAATTATCTAGTATATTGAAAAATAAATAAATATCTATTTAATGGATACAGTTATAGGATTTCTAATTTTTATATAAATGTTTTATTCATATTTAAATGTATTTCAGGATATCTTCTCATTTTATCGACGAAAATAATACTATTCCAGGGAGTATCGCTCTTATTTCAAATAGAACACATAATAAATTTTATACCAAATGAAAGCTCATCAAAAATGTAGTTTATTAATACTAAATAGTGAGGGTTATAAAGACTTTTTAATGTCAAGTTTAAGAAAGTTTCATAAATTTTATACTTTTTTAAAGGTGGAAAATTAAGATACCACTAAATCAAAAACGGAGTAAAATTTTTTACATGATGTGATAGAGTTCGTCGAGCTCTACAAAACTGTGTATGTTAGAAATTTGTCAAGCCATCTTTTTGAAACAACAAATTTAAAAATTCTTTCTTTTCACATTGAAGAAACACTCTTGGTTTTTGCAATACAAGTAATATTTTTCATTATTTTTATTACCTTAGACGTATTGAAATATACTCATTAGACGTATTTTATTACGCTTTTATTGAAAAAATCGAGTGCGTTTCTTCATGAAATTTTACTCCGTTTTTTGATTTAGTGGTTCAGTAATTTTCTACTCCAAAAAAAGTATCGCATTTCTGAAAGTTTCTCAAGCTTGACATTAAAAAATCTTTATAATTCTCACTATTTAGTATCAATTAATCTCATTTTTGACGAGCTTTCATTTGGTAGAAAATTATTATGTGTTCTATTTGAAATAAGAGCGATACTCCCTGGAATAGTATT